GTCAGACATTTGTAACGATGTGTGACAAGGCGGGGGGGGGGGTTTAGAAATGTGACGTCACGTAGAAATGCGCAAATTTAAATAAATATAGACAACACGTTCTACTTAATTGAATAGACTTTTTAAGAAATGTTTGCTCCTACAACATCAGAGTGCAGCGCCACATTAAATACGCACTACAATGATAATAGTTTGAAGCGATTTGAAGCATGTTTTATATTTTTTTTTGGGGGGGGGGCAGAGCTTTGTGACGTCATATTTAAGGGGGGGGGTCTGACTTTTTGTGACGCCGTGTGACGAGGGGGGGGGGGTCAAAAATCGTCCAAAACCGCGTGACATCTTTTATGGATGGCCCCTTGGCCCAAATGCGCTCTGGAGTTGTATAAATTTGCGTGGCATTCCCTCCACCCCGCGCACCTCCGATCAGCACAGTTGGCTACGTACGGTGCGAAAGAAGTTCAAAGTACATGCGGACTAGGGATCGACATTGGAGGGATGCGAAGGGTGCTTGCCTACAAACATCTGGCAGATCGCTGGCATTGCTTCAAACGAGCCTGGCTCTGCTGACGAGGCGCCGAGTGTTGAAACCGGTCCAGACTTTTGCTTGCGTTGCACCTCCGTGCAAGCCAGGAGGGGGAGTTCCTGTACGTGGGCGGTTTACCCATGGCAAGCTCCGGTTTGATGGTGTGGCGTCGTCTTTCTCGGCCACAGTCATAACCCTGAATGATCTCTCCTTACGAAACGTGGACCCTTTTATTAAAGGCACGCCTGCACTGGCTGCAAGCATTTCGGCTGGCCTGCCTACTATCTTTCCCGGGTTTCAGCAGACTGGATTGTGTGAGGTGCTCACAGATCCTTGACAGATCTGGACACGGTCCCCATCATCGATGAGGCTCCTCCGGCAGGCGAGGCTGCGTTAGCTGGATCACGTCGCCGGCATGCCCAGCCAACGCCTGTCCAAGCGGCTTCTGTTTGGTCGGAGACAGAGGGGTCGAAACGGGCGCGGCACGGGCTAGAGAAGAAATGGAGTCACGTGGTACAGGAGCACGTGGAGCTGAGTGGAATTGCCGACGACTGGTACCAGCGGTGTCAAGATCGCCCGCTGTGGAGGATGCTCGTGAAAGACGCGACCGGCTAGTCGGAGGCAGTCGCCCTCCAACAACAAATGAGGGCAAATGAGCGACGCTCACAACAACGAACGAAGCGCCGGGCGGCTAAAACGGAACAGTGAGCAGCAACTAACAGTAGTCGTCTCAGTCAGTCAACCCATGGCACCTGGGGTCTATCGCCTTTGACCTGCCAGCAGCGAGGTTCCCACACTTCACGTGGGCCTCACAGTGCACCTAGCCTGGCACAGGAGGCTTCGCGGCGACGTTACCGCCACAGTTGTGCGTACTCTCTGCATGTGTGGAGCGGCAGCGTGGAGGTTAGCGCGCCATCCGGTGCTGGCACTCGAGAGAGAGAGAGTCAAAGGCCCCTGGGCGAGGTGTTGACACCACGCCCTCGTGCACCGTGCGAGGTGCTCCGTGACCTGCATAGACAGCACTTGCCCCGACAGCCTGTTACGAGGCTATACGGGGGATCTTTGTCGACTCAGCCTCAAATGAGTACACGGTGCAATGTTTTAACATCGCCACTGGGGGAGACAAAGGCGGCCGGGCGTGGTGTTGGCCACCCACCCCCCTCGTGTGCGCGTTAGCCGTCATAGGTGCTTGCTAACAGCTCTTGCCACAACAGTCTATTAAAAGCTATGTGGATGATTTATGTGTGTGGGGCCGTCCATAAATGACGTCACGCACCTAAGGGGGGGGGGGGGTCAGATATTTGTGACGATGTGTGACGAGGGGGAGGGGGGGTTTGAGAAATGTGACGTCACATCAAAATGCGCAACTTTAAATAAATATAGACAACACGTTCTACTTAATTAAATATACTTTTTAATAAATGTTTTCTCCTACAACATCAGAGTGCAGCGCCACATTAAGTACGCACTACAATGACAATAAATTTTGATTTAAAGCTTTCGTGACTGCAGCAATTCATATGCTTAGCTCTTTCGGTAAAGTCACGTTGAAGGGAAACAATAAAATAATAAAAAATATAAAAAATAATAAAAATTCCCACGACGTTTCGACCATAACACAAACGGTCACTTATTTCAAATGTTTCTTGCCGTTGGGTTTTCACACCTGATGACGACCGTTTGTGTTATGGTCGAAACGTCGTGATAATTTTTATTTTTTAAATATATTTTATTATTTTATTGTTTCCCTTCAACGTGACTTTACCGAAAGAGCTTAGAATACAATGACAATCGTTTAAAGCGATTTGAAACATGTTTCATATATTTTGGGGGGGGGGGGGGGGCAGAGCTTTGTGACGTCATATTTGAGGGAAGGGGGTCTGACTTTTTGTGACGCCGTGTGACGAGTGAGGGGGGTAAAAAATCGTCCAAAATCGCGTGACGTCATTTATGGACAGCCCCTATGTCCGTGTATAAGTCTGTGATGTTTGGCAAACTGGCAGAAGTTTACAGGCAAGGCCCCCACTCTCTATTAGATTTGGGTCCTGGTTAGGGGCAAAAAAGTACAATTACACATCACACAAAATAATAATTCGCCTAGTATGTTGAGAAAATACACTTGGTATGTCTGTGGTGTTACATATTCTATACTGTGTAAGTGTTGAGGACCCGGTCTAGCAGACCCGCATTCAACCACCAACACCACAAGAACACACACACACACCACTCACTCAGTCACTCACTCACACACTTAGTCACTTATCCACTGACTCGCCCAGCCATTAACCGTTCATTCACTCAAGTCGCGCACCCACTCAGTTATTCACTCATTCACCCGCTCCCCCAAGACAACAAAAACAAAGTTCCCCCATATAGCCTGAACAGACAGTTGTGGCACGTGCTGTTAGCGAGCACTTATGAAGGGCGGCACGGTACATGAGGGGGTATGGTAGCTAACACCGCGTCCGACCGCCTTTGTCTCCTTAGTGGCGATGTTTTCACACCGCCCCAGGTGCTCATTTCAACTAAAAACTTAACTTTTTGTTTTTACCAGGTAAGGCCCACTAAGCCATATGGCTCTTTTTCAGAAGCGACCCACCCACAAATGATGGCTCAACGAAATGGATTATCATGTAGAAATGTATAGCAGCCAAATACTCCAAATGTGGAGGGATCCGGAGAAAAATCCACGCCACCCACGTCCCGTATACCAGGCGAGGTAGTTAAAATCTCACCACCGTGGCGTCCCGATTTGAGGCTGAGTCGACCTAGGGGAGGCCCATGACCGGTTCAGATCATCGTCACGGATGTTGGTTGGCCGTAACGCGCGGCGCTGACACCAGCCACTACGCCACCCACTCATCCATCCATCTACCTACTCACTCAGCCACTCACCCAGTCACCCACCCACTCACCCACTCACCCACCCACTCACCTACACACGAATTCACCCACTCACCCACCCACTTACTCGCCCACCCACTTACTCACCCACCCACTCACCCACCCACTCACCAACCCACCCACTCACCCACCCACCTACCCCGCCACCCACTCACCCACCGATCTATCTACTCACTCACCCACTCACCCAGTCACCCACCCACTTACCCACCCACCCACTCACTCACCCAGTCACCCACCCAATCACCCACCCACTCACCCACCCACTCACCCACCCACGAACTCACCCACTCACCCACCCACTTACTCGCCCACCCACTTACTCACCCACCCACTCACTCACCCACCCACTCACCCACCCACCCACTCACCCACTCACCCACCCACTCACCCACCCACTCACCCACCCACTCACTCACCCACTCACTCACTCACCCAGTCATCCACCCACTCACTCACCCATTCACCCACTCACCCACTCACCCACCCACTCACCCACCCACTCACCCACTCACCCACTCACCCACCCACTCACCCACGAACTCACCCACTTACTCGCCGACCCACTTACCCACCCACTTACTCACCCACCCACTCACTCACCCACCCACTTACCCACCCACCCACTCACCCACTCACCCACCCACCCACTCACTCACCCAGTCACCCACCCACTTACTCACCCACCCACTCACTCACCCACCCACTTACCCACTCACCCACTCACTCACTCACTCACCCACTCACTCACTCACCCACCCACTCACCCACGAATTCACCCACTCACTCACTCACCCACTCACTCACTCACCCACTCACTCACCCACCCATCCACTCACCCACCGCACTGGAGTTTACAATCCTGTCCGCCTTCAACTGTACCACTGCGGAATTCGCTCCCATCGACTCTTTTCCCCCCGTCACGCTCTTACAACAACATCCTTGGGTCGTTTCAAGAAAGCACGCGTGTTCATCACCCGTGTTCATCACCCGTGTTCATCACCCGTGTTCATCACCCGTGTCCATCACCCGTGTTCATCACCCGTACGCTATGGCAGTGCTGTGCAACTGTTGACCGTGCGGTTTGTTGCTGGGTCGTTGGACGTCTTGGTGCTATGCTCACAAGCTCGCGTCGTGTCGCGTCCGGGGCAGCGGTAGTGTGGCGGTTATCTGGACCGCTCCTGGGTTACTCCCCTAGGTTGACTCAGCCTCATATGAATACCTCGTGCGGTGTGCAAACATCGCCACTAAGGGGAGACAAAGGCGTCGTGGTGCTGACCAGGCCCCCCCCCCCCATACCTCGTGTGTGCTCCGTGCAGGCCTGCATAGGTTGCTACACGCTAACAGCACTTGCCCCAACAGTCTGTCACGAGGCTATACGGGGGACATTTGCCTTTGGTTCCTGTCTGGAGAATGCTGGAACCGCCCTGACCGCGAGCACTGAGGATGGTGGTGGTGGGTGTGGGTGGCTCGGGCGAGGCGTGGCAGATCGGAATGTGGGCGAGCGCTCCAAGTTTTAATTCTCTCGGCGTGAGTGCGAGTCTGGCTCTCTCGCTCTCTCTCCCCCAACTCTCCCCACTGTCGATCTCCCTCTCGCTCTCTCATCTGCGCTGCTATACCCCCACCACCAAACCCTCACCATCTCGCTCTCTCTCTCACCGTGCCCCTCTCGCGCTATAAAAGCGAGGACTCCTCCCTTGTAGAGAGCGAGCGAGACGGTGTGATTTTTTTGGACGAAACGCGACTCGCACAGCTGAGCTTGCTCCTCCGATCCTCGCTCCGTCTCCCACGGTGAGTCCCGCCGAGGATCCGCACTGCGCTATGGACACGCCCGGCCAAGTCTCAAGCTCGCCCCCCACCCCCCCGCTCGTTACTCGATTCCATTATTCAGCAGAAGATATCTCTTTCCATTTACGAAGTAAATAAATAAACTCTCTCCCATAACCCCCCCCCCTAATTTGGCCTCTGTGAGATTAACTGGTCCACCAATGTTTACACCGCTGTCCTAGAGTAATCGACAGAGGCGTTAGGGCTAGTGGATTCGGGTTAGTGGGTTAGGGCGAGTGGATGAGTGGGCTGGGCTAGTGGGTTAGGGAGAGTGATTTAGGGTTAAGGAAAGTGGGTTAGTGGTTGGGATGGTGGATTGGGGATAGTAAATTAGGGATGGTGGGTTTGTATTGGCGGGTTAGGGCTAATGAGTTAGGGTTAAGGATAGTGGGTTAGAGCTGGGGCCAGTCACGAGGGCAGTGGTTTGGGTCGGGAGTTCCTGCTAGGCTTAGCACCAGAGGTTAGGGGTTCGGGTTTAGGGTTGTGTAAGTTTGGGGTTAGAGTGAGTACTCGTGTAAGGTGGATGGTTGGTGTTATAGAATTTGGGTGAGTACTACTGGACATCCGTGAAAAAAGAGCTTTATAGCTCATCGGATTCCTCCAGTATAAATATTCTGTTTCTGGGGTTTTGGAGCTTAGGGTATTATTAGTTCAGTCCTGGTACTGGGGCTAAGCAGTTGGGAGGACTGGACTAGGATTTGGCAATCGTTCTTCTAAACCTGGGGTGCGAGACGTGGCCAGATTTATTTTCGAAGCTAAATAATCGAAACACAAATTAAGAACGGGCACCGTAAGCAACAAGTTACTTTGTTTCATCGTACCTATGTCTTTATTAATGTTACATTTTTTAACGCTTGAGAAACCGAGGGCTGCAAGGCTCCAGTGAAGGTTAAGGACCACTGGCTTAGGGTAATCGCGTTTTCGGGTTCGTGTTGTCCGTGTTCTCGGGGTGGCGTTAGTGCACAATGCGAGTTTGATATCTCGGCTTGAAGATCGATGAGTCGCCGCCGCTACACGAATTCCAGGCCTCTTGCCAAGGGTGTGACGATTCGCCTCCACGTCTCCGATGGATTGCTGCTGCTGATGGTGGTGGCTGTGTGGAGTCGGAGAGCGCGCAGCAGCCCCGCGTGGCTGCGACGGTGATGCTAATCGATTATTGAATGAAGCGCATCGACAATTACGTCAAAGGTGCAGGGCGTTGTGTGGTGGTGATGCCGCCGACGCCGCTGCTGCTGCTGCGTTCAGCAGTGGCGCATAAGCACAGATGATGACAACATCGACGGCGAGCAAATCGCTCACATCGTTCCATGTCAATAACACGATGGCCGATCCATAATGGGCGACGATTCGGGACAATGGCCCTCCAGTAGCACAAGAAGGTCCGTTGCCCGAAACGTCGCCGATTATTAATTCCCCTGTTTTCAAGGCCACGCGCGCACACTGTGTTTGGTGAAAGTGCCACCTTCCTGTGTTCTGGTATGCAGAGCCGCGCCTGGCCTATAAAAGTGCACGGACTGTACGTGACTGCTGTGGGGATGTAGAGCCTCCTGTACGGCGAGTTGAACGACTCGTCGTTGTAGTCGACGTTACGCCGACAGCATTCTCATCTTGCATTTTGATGGCATGTTCGGGTGCTCCATGTCAAATGTCGAGTCCCCGACGAGAGGGCTTCCGCAGGGAGCGAGAGAGAGAGTTCGCGTTGTGTCCGCCGTTCTTCCTCCTCCTCCTCCGTTGAACCGCTTTCTGTGTTTTAATTTGCTGACCCGCCCCGGCGCCTCCGATTAGCACGGTCGGCTACGTACGGTGCGAAAGAAGTTCAAGTGTGGGTTGCATGGCCACAGTCGCACTGCTCTGCCCCTTCCTTTAATGTTGCTCGTATGAGTCTGTAGGTCTCTATGGGTTTAACGTGCGGTCTGTATAATAAAGCAATTTAATAATAATGCAATTTAATAATAATAATGCAATATAATAATAATAATGCAATTTATAACACGCGCAAATGCGGACGTAACGACCGCAACTCAGAGGCGCGGAGCCAAGCTCAGAGCGGCTCGAAAGCGTGGTTGTGGACGTGAGTTTTTAAAGTGTCTCTTGAAGGAGACGATTGCGGTGATGCTGCGAATGTGCAGAGGGGATGGCGTTCCAGACTGTTGGGGCAGCCTGTGTTGCATGGCCACACTCGCACGGCTCCTTTCTTTAATGCACCTCCGACGAGTCTCTGAGTATATCCGATGCAATCTGTAGGTCTCTGTGCATCTCTGCGTGTGTCTCTACGGGGTTCATTTTTTTACCGTGCGGTCCATCATCTGTCTGGGCTGCACGTCACGAAGTCGCGACGCGCAGGGCACGCCCCCGGTAGGCGTGTCCCAGCCATGTCCCCTCCCACCGCTACGCGCTGTGCAGGCCCGGGGGGGTGGTGGGGGGGGGGTAGTGGGGGGTGGTGGGGGGGGCTCCCACCCCACCCCTCCCCTCCCAGGGCCACACCCTGAGGTCTCGCTGGCTTCATGGGAGCGGCGCATCGATGGTGACGACGTTGGTGGGGGTGGTGGTGGACAGTTTGATGGTGACAGTGGAGATGATGAAGGTGATGGTGGAGATGATGATGATGGTGGAGATGAAGATGATGATGAAGATGACGATAATGGAAATATTGATGGAGAATGTATTTTTAGTATGATGGATATGATGATGGCAGAATGGATGCATTGGTGATCACAAACAATACCTGCTGCCATTCGTAACGTGTAACAATGTAACGGATTATTAAATGATCGCGTGACTCTTGGGAGTCGCAGAGCCAAGCAAGAGGTGGGGCCTTGAAGAGTGTCCGTCAGAAGTCGTCGTGCGTTGAATCGCGGCTGAAGTAGTGACAGGAGTTGTAGTGCAGGGTGGCAGGAGCTGTAGTGCAGAGTGACAGGAGCTGTAGTGCAGAGTGACAGGAGCTGTCGTGCAGGGTGACAGGAGCTGTAGTGCAGGGTGACAGGAGCTGTGGTGCAGGGTGACAGGAGCTGTAGTGCAGGGTGACAGGAGCTGTAGTGCAGGGTGACAGGAGCTGTAGTGCAGGGTGACAGGAGCTGTAGTGCAGGGGGACAGGAGCTGTAGTGCAGGGTGACAGGAGCTGTAGTACAGGGTGACAGGAGCTGTAGTGCAGGGGGACAGGAGCTGCGGTGCAGGGTGACAGGAGCTGTGGTGCAGGGTGACAGGAGCTGTAGTGCAGGGGGACAGGAGCTGCGGTGCAGGGTGACAGGAGCTGTAGTGCAGGGGGACAGGAGCTGCGGTGCAGGGTGACAGGAGCTGTAGTGCAGGGGGACAGGAGCTGCGGTGCAGGGGGACAGGAGCTGTAGTGCAGGGGGACAGGAGATGTGGTCGGCACAGCCTTAAATCAACAGCTAATGTGGTGTTGTATTGTGTAAACATCAGCACTGGGGACACGGAGGCGGCCGGGCGTGGTTCTGGCCAGCTGCCCATCTCGCGCGCCGTTCCGGCCTTCAAAGGCGCTCGCTAACTGCACTTGCCCCAACATCCTGTGTAGGCTACTCGGCGGGGGGGGGGGCGTCGGGGGATCTTTGTCTTTTGTGTAGTGGGTGTGTCACTCCCTGTGCGCGTGCGTGGCCGACAGAGGCTTTCCGACCCCCCCCCCCCCCAAAAAAAGTTTTTTTTTAAAGGAAACGACAAAAAAAACTGGTGGCCACGGCCGAGGGGGAGTGGCCGCTTCGTTGTAAGGGGTTCTCGGTTGTTGCGAGCCAAGCGGCCGCCCTGGCAAATACCGCGCGGGAGGCGTTCATGGCGCGCTGACGCGCCGTCCAAGATTCGCAGTGGACGATCGAGAGAATCCCGCGTGACGCGATTTGGAGAGAGAGGGCAGTGCCACGTGTCCCGGGACGTCTGGCCAGCGTGCAAGAAGAGTAAACTACACATTTGCAAAAAAATAAGTTTACCAGGTTGGGTCCACTTAGCTGTATGTCTCTTTTTTTCAGACGCGACCTGGCCACAAATGATAGCTCAACTGAGTAGCTTATCGCGTGGAAATGTATAGCGGCCCAAATACTCTAAACACGTGTGGATTTTAAATCTGGAGGGAAAAAACGGAGAACCCGGAGAAAAATCCACGTGACCCACGGGCAGAGAGACACGCAAACTCCAAATATACAGCAGCAGCAGCAGGCGTCAGGGTCGGGATCGAACCCACGACCTCCTGCACACCAGGCGAGGTAGTTAACATCTCATAGCCACCGTGATGATGATGAGAGAGAGAGACATATAACTCCAAATATACAGCAGCAGCAGGCGTCAGGGTCGAGATCGAAACCACGACCTCCTGTATACCAGGCGAGGTAGTTGACATCTCCTAGCCACTGTGATGATGATGAGAGAGAGAGAGACACGCAAACTCCAAATATACAGCAGCAGGCGTCAGGGTCGGGATCAAACCCACGACCTCCTGTACACCAGGCGAGGTAGTTAACATCTCATAGCCACCGTGGCGGCCTACGAGCAGGCCAAGGTCGCCTCCTAAGTGGGGGCTGTCGAGAGCTTCCTCTCGTGCACGCCCATCCGCCAGCAGTAGCGCGACACCATCAATTGCAAGGGCTGCACCTTCGCTCTCACGTGAAAACAACTTGCGAGTTAAGTTGTTGGCCGAACATCCCAACAGAGGACCACAGGGGCCGTCCATAGATGACGTCACGCGATTTTGGGCGATTTTTGCCCAGCCCCCCCCCCCCCCTTCGTCACACGGCGCCACAAAATGTCAGACCCCCCCCCTCAAATATGACGTCACAAAACTCTGCCCACCCTCCCCCCCCAAAATATATAAAACATGTTTCAAATCGCTTTAAACTATTGTCGTTGTAGTGCGTATTTAATGTGGCGCTGCACTCTGATGTTGCAGTAGAAAACATTTATTAAAAAGTCTATATCTGACCCCCCCCCCCAGGTGCGTGACGTCATTTATGGACGGCCCCACAGAGCACGGACGGTTTATCGTTGGAACCTGGTTTCTGGCTGTCGTGGTTGACTGCGGTTTCTGCAGCGCGAGTTGAGATGCAATTTCCATGACCACCCCCCCCCCCCGCTGTCACCGCCCCCCCCCCCCCGTCGTATCAGCCATGTCGAAACTGGAGTGTGCCATGGAGCAGCTGATCAAGCTGTTCCACTCGTACGCGCGCGAGGACAACGACAAATACACCCTGAGCAAGGCCGAGCTCAAGAAGCTCATCACCGCCGAGCTCCCCACACTGGTAGGGCCTCCTGGGGGCACGGTGGGGGGTGGGGAGAGGGGCGGGGATGGCATGGCGAGGGGGGGCCGGGTTCGTTGTCCACGGGCCACAGATCTTTGCCAACGATGACTTCATCTGTGGCTACAGCCTCCCTCTCATCTTGCTCTACTACTCTCGCACTCTCCTACCTCTCCCCACTCATCTCACTCCACTCCCCTCCACGCTCTCTCCTACCTCTCCCCACTCATCTCACTCCACTCCCCTCCACGCACTCTCTCACCTCTCCCCTCTCATCTCACTCTACTCCTCTCCACTCACTCTCTCACCTCTCCCCTCTCATCTCACTCCACTCCCCTCCACTCACTCTCTCACCTCTCCCCTCTCATCTCACTCTACTCCTCTCCACTCACTCTCCTGCCTCTCCCTCTCATCTCACTCCACTCCCCTCCACGCACTCTCCTGCCTCTCCCTCTCATCTCACTCCACTCCCCTCCACGCACTCTCTCACCTCTCCCCTCTCATCTCACTCCACTCCCCTCCACTCACTCTCCTACCTCTCCCCTCTCATCTCACTCTACTCCCCTCCACGCACTCTCCTACCTCTCCCCTCTCATCTCACTCTACTTCTCTCCACTCACTCTCTCACCTCTCCCCTCTCATCTCACTCCACTCCCCTCCACGCACTCTCCTACCTCTCCCCTCTCATCTCACTCCACTCCCCTCCACACTCTCTCACCTCTCCCCTCTCATCTCACTCCACTCCCCTCCACGCACTCTCCTACCTCTCCCCTCTCATCTCACTCTACTCCCCTCCACTCACTCTCCTACCTCTCCCCTCTCATCTCACTCCACTCCCCTCCACACACTCTCCTACCTCTCCCCTCTCATCTCACTCCACTCCCCTCCACACACTCTCCTACCTCTCCCCTCTCATCTCACTCTACTCCCCTCCACTCACTCTCCTACCTCTCCCTCTCATCTCACTCTACTCCCCTCCACTCACTCTCCACCCTCTACCCTCTCATCTCACTCCACTCCCCTCCACACTCTCTCACCTCTCCCCTCTCATCTCACTCCACTCCCCTCCACTCACTCTCCACCCTCTACCCTCTCATCTCACTCCACTCCCCTCCATGCACTCTCTCACCTCTCATCTCACTCTACTCCCCTCCACTCACTCTCCACCCTCTCCCCTCTCATCTCACTCTACTCCCCTCCACTCACTCTCCTACCTCTCCCTCTCATCTCACTCCACTCCCCTCCACCTTCCATGTTGGGTCAAGTGCTGTTAGCGAGCACCGATGAAGGCCGGTGCAGCACACGAGGGGGTGAGTGGCCAACACCACGCCCGGCCGTCTTTGTCTCCCTAGTGGCAATGTTTACACACCGCACCAGGTACTCATTTGAGGCTGAGTCGACCTAGAGAAGGCCCAGGACCGGTTCTGATAATCGTCACTGGTGTTGTTCGTGAGCGGAAATCAAAACTCTGATAACCATCTGCACTCGCACGCACTCGCATGTACACTCTCACACACACACACCCACACACACGAACCCACCGCTCACCCCCCCACCTCTTCCCCCCCCCCCCCCCCCCACAATCCGCGGTATGTACAGTGCCCTCAAGGAGCCCAGAAGGTCGATTCCCTGGACAAGACCATGAAGGACCTGGACACGAACGGCGACCAGCAGTTGGACTTCCAGGAGTTCGTCATCATGATCGCGGGCCTGGCCATCAACTGCAACGACTTCTTTGTGGGCCACCAGGACCCCCCCAAGGTCAAGGCCAAGGGCAAAGTCGTCCAGGCCAAGAAGAAGTAGACTGAGGAGGATGAAGAGAAGGAGGATGAGGGGGGGGGGTAGCCCCTCCCCTCCCTCCTCCCCATCCCCCACCCCTTACCCCCACACCACCCCCCACATCTCTGGTTGTGGAATCGTCATTCTCAGAGATTCCAATTTGACCGGAATGTTTGGGAACGCCGTTCCAGGAGTTGTTTTGCATTCCTAGTTTTATCCTCTTAGCTCGAATTCACAGCAACCTGTTCATAGTGATATTGGCTTTTAAATTGTTGGCATAAGGCACTACCACTAGAGTACAAAGCCCATCCATAACAGGTTATTGTAGCCTATTTTCATAGCAACCAACTTTGTAGAGATCGTAGTAACATTAGGTATGATAATATAAGATTGTTGTGGATAAGGTGTTTCAGTTACATTTGCACTCTCGTGGTAGTGCCTTACGCTGGTAATGATTACTCCCAGGCCAGCTAGGTGATCATTGTTGCTCATCGCTGCCTGCTAGACTGGAGAGAGAGGGGGAGTGGGAGGGAGGGGTGGAGATATCCTGGAGGTGGGAACTATGGCTAAGGGTGCCGGCTGCCAACATTTCATAATCCCCGGGTTTGCCGATCCGCATTGGATGCGGCGGGGAATGTAAGCCACGGTGCCTGAATGGAATAGTTCAACACCGGTGATTTGTCGATGAATGGAAACGATGAAGCGTGTAGGGGGCCGGTACCAAACCACGCTGTGAGTTGATGCCGAAGAGATGGTGACGGTACAACCTCATTGACGCAATAGCGTGGTTGTGGCCATGCAATCCAAACCATGGACCATATAGTAAACTCGTAGAGACACGTAGAGATACATAGAAATAATAGACAGATTGGCAACCACAGTCGTAAGATTCGTGGCCAAGCAGCACAAGCGTGTAGAGTAACACCGCTGTGGTCTGCACTCCTTCAACGGAGGAGCAGCGACACGACACGAACTCCCTCTCTGCTGAAGCCCTCTCGTCGTGGCCAGCAGCAGCAGCAGCAGCAAACCTCGACATTGGCATCGAGCTCCTGAGCCACGTCTTGCCACCGCCGTCGTGTGCAACGATACAGCCGAGCGCAGAGAACCCCGACCCTCGGCTGCTGTTCTCAACGTAAATTCTTTTTTTTTTATCTCGTTCGCTTGGCCAACGTCGCGACCGCCGTTCAGACAAACCAGACAACGCCGTCTCCTTTGTGAACAATAAAACAAACGCCGTCGACGACGATGTTGTGCGTCTCTCGTGTCCGGTGCCGTCCGCCTCCTGTGTGCTGTGAAGGGTATTCGCCCCAAAACGTCGCCTTATTAAATGCTTATTTTTTAAAGCAACACGCACACACAAACGGCCGTGTTTTTGCCGAGTGCCTCGAGGGTTTTTGTTATACGGGGATCAGTGGCCGTGGTGGTTAGCGGCCTCGCGCTGCAGAACCCAGCGAACCGATTCAGCACGGTGGCCTACGTACGGCGCATAAAAAGTTCAACTTGTAGGATATCTTTTGATTTAAAGCTTTCGTGACCGCAGGGTTTCATATTCTTGGTTCTTTCGGTAAAGTCACCACGTAGATAGGAAAACAATAAAATAATAAAAATATAAAACATTGTAAAGTCACCACGTAGAAGGGAAACAACAATATTATAGGATATCATCGATTATCCGGCTGCCAACACCCGGCAGTCCCAGACCGATCTGGAAAATTGCTCCAATGGCTGTGCCGATTAGGCGATCGGCACCATGTGCATGATAAAACAAAATACGTAGCTCTGCTTGATTTCAGTGTCAAATATATGCAGTGCATTATATACAACTTACAACTGAATGAAAATACGGCACGTATACGTTTTTCATGACCAATAACTAATACAAACAATATACAGTGCGATCCGGCGTAAAGCGAGTCGTGCAATTCGTCGTTTGCCGGATCACCGGTCTCAGGGCCGCAATCAATCCAGCGATCGGCAAACATGTTTAAACAAGGGGGGACGTGCAGGAGGCTCCTTAAAAGTGATGTTCGATTGCGCTTGCGAGCAAAATCCAGACGTCGCAGAAACGTGGTATAACCACCTCCAATTCTAAACCCATAATCACCCCATGTAGAGTCTTCCCGCGGATTGGAGTGGTAAGTCCAGAACAGTGGTGTATATATTTCTTTTCCAAGAAATTATATTCAGTGTGATAGTCTATTTTTTATTGTCATAGCTCCTTGTCGACAAATGTGGAATCGGTGAGCCCTGAGCGTAAATAAATAAATAAACATTTTGGCGTGAGAGCAAAGCGTGACCCAGGGAAATTTCTAGGAGAGAAATTTACGGACGGGGGTCCGGGCAAAAAATTTACGAAAGGGAGGAACCCGTGGCAAAACACCACAACTCGCTGCCTATCCGTGGGCAAATACAGGGCACAGAGACAAGGAATATCCCTTGCCATTTCACTCTCTGAATTAACACACCCCTGGCAAGTTGAAGCGTTCAAATGACAATCGCAGCATACGAATATTCTTAAACATAATGGTTTTTAACGTTAACTTCGGGGATGTGATATATTGTTAAATGACAATACAGCACAGAGTCAAGAGGTTAAAAATACGACTAGTGGCATGTTTTATGAGCATCCACTTATAAATACATGAGTGCCATGGGTTAAGCATATACACGTGATAACAAATTATGTTAAAAAAAATATTGAAGTATTGAACCTAAGGATCATCTAGGACAATATACATACTACGAATTAAGCTAATCCTCCACGACGAAAAATAATAACAGAGCCGTGCCTGACCGCATTTGTCTTCTCAGTGGCTATATTACATGCTGCACCAGGCATTCATATTAAGGCTGAGTCGACTTAGAGGGGGGGGGGCAGGACTAGTTCAGATAACCGCCACTGTTGATTGTGAGTGGGACTCGAACTTGGAAAACCCGGGCTCAATAGGAGGTGGGATAAACCGATACCCGAACACTCAGAGGGAGGAAGGTCGTTTCACAATCAACACGTGGCTAGAAACACACACGCACGCCACATCGAGGGGCAATTAAGTGGGTCTGTGCTCACACAAATCTTGGGATGACCTCCGGATCCCTGGGAGGGAGTTATTCCAGGGGTTAGTTATTACATCAGGCGCCAAGATGTCTGCGAAGCCAGAACCAGGGATGAACTAAGACTGACCGGATGAACGCTCGAGAGGCGTGAAAGTGGGAGGATATTTTGGGTCTGTCACGTGTCTTCGGGCAGCGGTCCCCAATCTTTTTGGCACCAGGGACCGGTTTCGTGGAAGACAATATTTTCACGGACCAGGGCGGGGGGCGTCATCAATGGGTTTTTCCCCCTTTTCAAAGAAGCTCTCCAGCGACATTTGTTTTTTACTCATTGTGGCTACTAGGGGTTAGAGCTTGTGGGCTTACCAACACCACGTGACTGAGACGAGTGCGCAGTGTGGGAAAGAGGCGCGGACGGAAGTGGTGAATAATAAAATAATGTGGGCGGGCCACGTGCGGACTCACCGCTCTCACCTCCTGCTGCTGTGCGGCCTGGATCCTAATAGGCCACGGACCGGTACCGGTCCGCGGCCTGGGGGTTGGGGACCCCTGGCTTAGGGAATAAACTCCTACATAACAGTGCCCAAAAATCACACGAACCAACCTTGCAACGGCAGACTTCGAGTGGTACTCGAAACCAGCAAAGGCTCTGAGTCGCTAAACGTGTTGAGTTCTTGGGGGGAGGAGGAGGCCGCATTTGTCGCGCTGCACGAAGGCTTCATCAACACGCCTCCCCTCGGATACCCTGATTTCTCTCTGCCCTTTGTGTTAGATACGGAAGCCAGGGACACCAGATTCGGCGCTGTGCTGTCCCAGGTCGTGAACGGTGTGGACAGAGTAGTGGCCTACGGGAGCAGCGTTACTGCATGACACGCAGAGAATTGTTGGCCAAAGTGCACTTTGTGCAGCAATATAGGCCGTACCTATTTGGACGGGACTTTGTCGTGAGCACGGACCACGCAGCTCTTCAATATGCCTTATGGATTGACCAGCCTTCTGGCCAACTGTCCCACTGATTGGACGTGTTGCAAGACTACTCCTTCATGGTCACCTACAGGAAGAGTGTATGGCACTGCAAAGCAGATGCACTGTCCCTGTTACCACCGAGGGACAGGTGTGCATGCTTAATGGGTGCCGTCCGATCTAAGCCATAGGCTGCAGAATTGCTGAACGCTGTAGTGGCGCCCATTGATGTACCACCACCGGCGACAATTGCTCATAGTGACGGCACATTGGGTCTCACACACGTTGAATGGGGATGCCTCCAGGCGGAGGACGCCTCCTTGTTGATGTTGCGGCTTCCTGTCGGGGCAAGAGGTAGTAAACATGTGCCAGCAGGGATGAGGAGATGCAACGTTATTGGATGGTGGTGCTGACTGCCCTGCGGGGTAAACTCACACGGGCAGTCCACAATAAATTAATGCACGTCGGAGTTCATAAAACCTTGCGGACACTGAAGCGTGACTTCTTTTGGCCCAGGATCACGGACGACGTGTACCACATGGTGAGAGGGTGTACTGACTGTGCACATCGCAAGCCGCCGAGGCAGGTCCAGCCACCGTTGCAATCCATCATGGTGTCTCGGATCAACGAGATAGTCGCTCTGGACATCCTCAGGCAATTTTCCGCCACTCAAAGGAGTAAAAAAAATCCTCCTTATCGGGGTAGAATATCTATCCCGGTGGCCGGTGGTGTGATCTCTGCCAGACCAGTCGGCCGCATCCATTGCGGACGCATTTTTGCATGGGTATGTTCTGGACAAGGGGGCTCTGGAACAACTTCTTACGGACCAGGGGCGAATTTTTCTTTTCAAAATTGTTAAGGGAGGTGTGCGGCTCCCTGGGAACAAAAAAAATCCGGACATTGTCCTTCCCGTCTCAGATGGACAGGATGATGGAGCGCTTGCACAGGACCCTTACCTCCATGTTGTGCCAACAAGTTAATGAGGCGCAGTCGGATTGGGACTTACACATTCCCGGTGTCCTGGCCGTAAATAGGATGGCCCCTGACGCCTCAACAGGATTTTCCCCGTTTTACCTCATGTATGGGAGGGAAAGTGATCCCCCCATGGAGGCTCAGTTGGGCATGGACCTGGGTAATAGAGAGCCGTCATGCCCATGCCAATGCAGGTCACGATTAGGAGGCTGACGGAGGCGCGGAAGACATCTCGAGGGAATTCGGCTAAACGGCAGGCCGCGAATGAAGAACTCGTGGGACAATGGGAGTCCGGGTCCCCATGGACCGCGGAGGACAAGGCGTGGCTGCATTTTCCCCAGGTATCCGTGGGTACGTACGGCCGCAGTGCGGTGCGTATACAGGTTGGTCGCCGTCGCTGGTTTGTGCACCCATCACGGGTGAAACCCTCATCTCCACCTCCTGAACACCGGGTGTCTGACGTGTCCGACGAGCTGGGGCAAGTGAGCTCGGAAGTTGTGCTTCAGGAGGATTCCGTTGTATCACCTGCAGGATCCCAGCACCTGACGCCCGGAGACCCACCGACAGCACCTCCGAGGGATGGACCGGGTGCGGGGGACGGGTTGCCATTACCTTCTCCACGGGAGGAGCCGTGCCCATTAGGCCATTTGTGTAGTGTCTCGGTAGTCCCCAGTACGCAAATTCCCGTTCCAGATGGGGGTCCAGTGGCGAGGACCCGTTCAAAGAGTGCTTCATTCCGCTGAACCACTCCCTTTACATCGTTCAATTGAGTTCCAACGCCGTCTGGCGGGTGGCCGCAGATGCGAGCCGGGCTGTGACTTCTGGTTGATCTGGGGTCCTTCCCAATGCTTGTGGGCTGAGGCATGCCGGCGGATGTCGGATATTGTTCACTTCCTTGCGGTTCGGGGTTAATAGTTAAAAGTTTTCTCTGACGATCATTAACCCTCCCTGTTAGGTAAATTGCGTTAGCGCATTATTGTGAGTTTTCCCCTCTCCATATGTGATTATTGTCAGCTGAGACAGCTGGGTTTTTTTAATGGGGGGGGGGGGGGGGGGTGATGCAGTGGCATAGCGCTGGCTGCTAGCAGAAAAGGGGATCTGCGGCGTACGGCAGTCCTGACATCAGCAGGGCAGGATATACACGAGAGGGGGATTTAGGGGAAAGGTCACAGAAGGGGCCCACCAGGAAGCCGCTAGTAGGTTACAGAAAGGCGGTGTGGCCGGGGCGGAGCGAGGCCACACTGACAGTATGCGAGG